CCGTTAAAGCAAAACGACTCGTAAAGTACTGACGACGGCGACCATTCGCCGCATCGACAATGCGTCCAAGTTTCAGGTTTAGGCCCTCAAGATAAAAAATGAGTTGGTGGTAGCAGTTTTTTCAGTGGATTCATCCTCAAACTAATGTCATGCGCTAGCGGGAACTATGATGATACACGTAATCGCTTACGATTCAATGACTGTTAACAGGCTCCAGCCCAACATGTCAGAGAGTTTTACGTGTCCTTCAAGGCTAAAATTCTGATGTGCACTATTCGGAACGGGGACGTAAGATAGCTCGGTCGTTCGTGGTCCATGAAACCTTCAAATCAAATAAAGTTGAACGGCATGGCTTGTTGGAAAGGAAATAGCATACTGAAGTGTAACAAGCATGGCATTTGTTGGCAATATCAATGGTAAATGGGTGTACCATGGAGCTGCACTTCACAAAAGTGACCAAAATACGGAAGTGTGTCAAGGTCATGGGCATGGCTCCTCCGACGAGCTAAAAAGGAGGGGGTAGTGATATCGAAAGAGCAAGAGTAGGATTCAGGGAGAGTCAATAAAGGATAATAAGTTGAGCCCAGGCATCTAAGTGCCAAAAAATCGCTGCAAAGGGTTCGCGGTTTCCATAAGATAAATCTTACCGTAGAGCATTGAAAGCATGCCAAAAATGACTCCTGTTGAGAGGTAGTGTGACGGCCGGACGGACTGGCTATTAAGGACAACACCGTTGATATGACCGACGTTCAAGTCCATTTCGAGCGCGGCCGTTCTTGTTAGATGAAGACTAAATTCAAAATTATCGGTGTAAACAGACATGAATTCGCGTGATTCTATAAGAGAATCCGAGAGAACGATGTCATAAATTAGTATAATTTAAAAACGAAGGACTTATCTAACCTACCTCCATACGGATTAGAACGAACAGCGTGGACGTTGCACCCAAACCCAAAGGTCTATGGAATGAGATGCAGGAAGAAAACCTCGACTAAATTTTCCAGCCATGATTGTAGTGTGGATCAGGCTTCCAGTCAGGACCCGTGAGCGATACTTTGATAACCTCCGTAAACTATCTTTTTGGGAATTCCCCTACGCCTTCTAAAACTGCAGACATGACACTCCAAAACAGCCTAGGTCACAGACATTACAAATTCTTGTGTATCTCTGAAACATGGAGAAGCTGCCTGAATGTGTCTCCATGGTTCGCTGTACGAAAAGGTAAGTGTTATAGGTGGGGTTGAGGTTTCGGCAAAAAGAATAGTTGACTCCCGGCGTGCAACCGTGGCATAAAGGTAAAAAATAAGTCTATTCAACCCAGAAAACAGCAATCATTAAATGAGGCGTTCGAAAGTAGAATGATTCTATCATACTCAAACAAGATAAGACTTAATAGCACTCCTATTTTCAAAGTAAAACTGCAAGCAAACAGAAACAGCACAAGTATTTCAAACGGGGTAGGAAAATATAAAAGCTTACGAACGAACCTTATAAGTAAAGCAGTCAATACGACTGTTTGGTACGCCATCTTCGACACTTTATGTGGCCCAATCTTGTTGGCGACAAACTGTTGGCAGTAAAATTCAGCAACCATTGCAAACGCAGTAGAAGCTATTACGCATAGACGGTAAAATCGCGACGGTCCCCCAGGCGATGCCACGAGCTAAAACATGCATTAAATGTGTCAAAAGCATCAAGTGCATTGAGAAATTAACATATGCACCGACAGAATGGACACATTGACAGAAAAGCAAATGGCAAAGCCATATAAGGCACACTGATGTTGATCACAGAAGTTAAACTAGTGAGAAGGGCAAAACACTCACGCACATCAGGTGAAGCTGTGTGTATGAAAACAGTTCCATATATCCATCCAAGGAAAATAAGGATACTGAGGGGAAACACGGATGCACACGTCGAAAGAGCGTGCAGCCTCTTTGCTCCACCAATGTCAGCAGCTAACCCACGAGAGAGGCTGTGAAAACCGGATTCAAAGCACGCGGCTAGTATGAGCAACACAGCGCCGGCCTAGCAAAATCCGAAAAAGAATCGAAGGACATTGCATGTCTTGAATTCAAATAGCTGGGTTTGAAAGTAAACTAGATCAGACCGACAACTAGAAAGTGCATTATGCTAATCAGTAAAAACGAAATGATAATTACCTTGTGATCGGACAGTCCACAGAATATGAAAAATTCATATATACGATGGATAAGAAGACTTTTGTGAACACCCTCAGCTAGAAAAGTAATAGTCAAGGGACAAAAATCCATCAGGCAGGACAGCAATTAATTAATTAATTAATAGTCTGAGTTAAAAAATTATATAACAACTGTGTATTCCCAAAGGATACGGTGTTCGGCGAGAGAATCGGCGACGTCGTGATCAAAAAATATGACACAGACTACTCCAAGTATAAAAAAAGCAGCACCCCTTGACTGGAAGGAAATATTTCACGTGAAAGACCTACCTTAGCAGGTGACGTAGAGTTGATGAACAGCGTACTCAACAACGAGACCACTGCAATATCGGAGTGTTCGTATATTAAGACGAAGCTAAATTATGTAGACGTTACGTAGAATTTACCGAAATGGACCGCAAAGAATCAGTCCAGTAACCCACATGATATCTAGTAGTATTCGAACGCATGAATGTCTAAATATCCGAAAGCACTGATGTATATACTCTGAAGTGTAAAGAGAGAGACTCACTTGTGCGTGTGTAGGCCAAGTCGAATTACGCAAAGGCTTTTGAATAAAGAATAGAAGGCACGAAGTGCTAAAACGTAGTGTAAATGACCCAACCCACCTTAACTTAACGAAAAATAGAAAAGTAAGGGTATGGTAGCACGCGAGAACTTCATAAACGGCAAAGAAGATAGCAGCTTTAAATGCACCAATGAGCAAAATCAGAGCGTAATAGAAAAATGTCCTGTAACGTCAGAAGCCTAGATCGAACTATACGCACCTGCTGCTCTCAGTGGGTTCTTTCAAACTGCCTAGCATGTTCTTAGCAATAAACGACTGTGGGGTCTTTTCTGTCAGTTTTGTTTGCCAAGTAAATCCAAGTCCTAATATACTAATTGTACCACACTAACTTGTCTGCAATGAACAGACTAGATTGTGCAGTCTGCCAACGGCACCCCCGTTATGTTGACCGCCGGGATTCACAGTAAATACAAAGTCTCCGATTTATAGTATCCGCCGCCTGACCGTTATGCGGAATTCTTCAATAAACCACCTCAAGGTACGTATTCACTCTCAGATCCACAAAGCACTAGACCAGTTAGTTTATTTTTATAAGATTATGAGGATGCGTGATTCAAGCAAAACACTCTGGTGCTTGACGGTACTCGAAAATGGCACTAGGCTAGGGCTCATGGAGACGGACTAACGGCAGCAAACCATGAGCACAAATAAATCCACAGTAAAAATGGCTAAAGGAAATAAATAGTAGCTACCGACAATGATAAGTAGTAAGGCCCAGTAGAAGCATTTCAAAAGTCATCGTGGAAAGACCGGAATATTTAGAAAGGAATGCTTTTATGTACTTCTGCAGGTAAGCAAAATTAGGCCACTAATCGAAGTAAAAAGCAGCTCCATAGGATGCTGGAGCTCGCCACTCGCTGGTCCTTCTGATTCGCAAGAGCCCTTGGTGTACATTCGATTGTGCATATTTGATTCCGTTATTAGCTTTACATAGATGCTGCGGATCCTGGTCAAATGCTCTCTAAAAAAACTTTCCTGACGTCTCCTTTAGCAATACCTAGCTCATATGTTCCGATCTAACACATTTGTATGCCATTGCCTTTTATACTCAGATATACCGAAACGTCCTACCACCTCCGATTATGCACTGATAACATAGCGATTTGAAACTTTAGTTCGAGCATGTTTCCGGTGTCCTAATGAGCCGAAATATGTATGGCGAATATACCATTGAGCAGTATCTAGAATACGAGCAAAAAATAATGTGTCGTGGCAGCATGATAGGTTCCGTAAAGTTTCGGAAACATTCACGCCTTGGTATGAGCTAATCGTCCTAGTATTTTCTGTTCACTCAAAATTAAGGAATCGCAGTCAGCAGTTAACCTAAATTATAGGATGAGCTGATGCCTAGCATAGCGAGTCCAAGATATTGCCTGAAGAACTACGCTTCCAGCATGCTTGCAGTTATGACCGATGCACAATATACGCGCAGACTACAGGTGTTGAGTGAAGAAGTTGAAATATGCTGCTATCAAGGAACATCCAAGCCAGAATAAGCCGGTGTTTTAACTGCATCTCCTCATAAATAGTTATTACTCATAAACAAAAATCAATTGAGAAATATTTGCGTTTTTCAAGCCATGTATTTCTGTACTTGATCACTTAAAATTCCACAGTAAGTGAAAACGGGGTGTGGCTAGAGAACACAGGCCGGTAGCCGCCTCGGCGGGTAAACTAAGACAGATGATCCCCTCAGAGTATCTGGTGCTGTGTCCCCACATCCAGTAATTCTGCTCACGTTCCCATCTTTCGTCCTTCTCTCCACTTTAAAAAGGCTTTCCCAGAGGACGACATCCAATTCTTTATTCGCTCCAGGCCAACTAGTGTCGCATTCCCACTAAGCCAATCCGCAACCTACAATCTATTGCATCAGCCGTCTGGCATATTTATGCAGCCCCATTTAGGTACAACACTGTTTAACCCCTCGGGGGGATTTACATTTTCCGATATTTTTGCCTACTGGACGCATTTGCTGCCTGCTGGCAATAAAAATTGAACTCGAATCAGCAGTACTGTTACCCGCGTTGACTTGACTGTGAAAAACTCTGCGTTTCGGTGGAATTCGAACCCAAGACATCAAGTGAAAGGCTTCAGTACAGCAACGTTTTAGCCACCTGAGTTACGAGGTCCCACCGGAAGACGTGAATTTAATCACATTTGGGTCATTTTACCTGCTCAACCTACTGCAACGTCAGGAATCCATTAAATCTGGTACGGTATGGCGACTGCCCAAGCAGGATTTCCTAAGTAATTCATTTGGAATTCACCAGATGTCTACCAGACTCACGTAACCGATGGCATTTCCCTTGCTGTCGTGGGTTGGAATTCCAACGAGGTGATCAGTTTTTCACAGTTGAGTCCTTGTGAATCGTTCAAGTCTGCCAAAGCTACTATTAATATTGTCATCATCAAAAATTTACAACAAGACATTCGCAGAACGCAGACTTCCACTACTGCCGGTTTCTGCATGTGGGATTAGAAAGACCTATCTTCCTGCAAACGATATGTCTGGAACAATTTCTACAAAGCCTAAGTCATATTTGAAAACTTAGACACTACCTCCACTCTCGTGCTAAAGCACTCGCCTAAATTTCCGCTATCTGCAGTCTCGAAGCATTTGCTTAACTTTCTGCCGTCTGAAGTATTCCAAACATCTGAACTTCTTAGGCCTTGCTTGGATTGTGGCTGCCTGCGGCTGATATCATTTAGGAGAATATTGTGTGCTGGACTGTGACGCATAGAGACATGGAAAATGTAGAAGTGTACGATCCAACCATTCCGCAGCACAAAAGTGGCTGTGGACTGGGGATCGATCCTTCGAACGCTAACACATAAGGCGAGCGCCTAAACTCCTCGGTCATCGCCACCGCTCCATATTTAAGGAATACGTAGGATCTGGCCGGAAACATAGTGTGCTAGGAACTTTGTGCCGACCAATGCCAATTCGTTGCCGACACGATGGATCAAACAAATGCAAAACGACAGAAGCGGCTCCCAGTGGGACCGATATGCCTGACGATGTAAAATATGTCGGTGATCTCACTGAGACTGTAGATAATTTTCTATCAGATAGTGATGTATCGAACTGTTGTGCGCAGTATAAATATTGTAGGGATCTCGCGTTGAGTATTACACCGCTGGAGACGAATATCAATTTCCTCACAAACCTCATTGCATTGTTAAAAAAATCGTGGTAATTTCAAGCCAAATGGTGAGGCCAGTAGCCGTCAACAGATCTTATGGAAACTCACAGAGTTGATCAACAGCCAAATATAGGAAGAACAGCCGCTGACGTGCCATAACTTACCGTTTCAGGAAATCGCCGGACGGCAGGAATCTAAAACGCTCTAGGAGGAAAGAGAACCGAAAACTTGAACAACCAACGTCTCCCTCGGCAAGTGCGATGGTTAACGGGGCTCCAAAGTCGCAAACTGATTTAAAAAGGGAGAATGGTGGCGCATGCTCATTATGGATAACCTCTAAGTTGTAGAACAGTGACCAGTCCACTAACAGATTCCTAATTGTCATACCTCCTGCGCATAAGAAGGGATTCGGGGTTCTAAAGGCTACCACATGGGCTGAAACCTCGGGAGAAGCCGCAAAGAAAATAACAAGTCAATATCTGAAATCGCCCCAGGAGATTTGAAACAGGCAATCACCATTTCCTGCAAGTGGGCTGGAGAGAAGCAGGTAAAAGTACGCAGGCAATCAAGGTCCCATTAAAAGAAAAAAATAAGTCAAAATGAACTAGTGACTAAAGAGGGAAAGACAGAATTCGGACGGCTTCGATGCACTCAAGTAAAAGAATTTGCTAAGGAAAAAAAGCGGAGCTTGTGTGAGCAGTCGAGAGAAACCGCAAATGATTAAATAGATACAGTCGGGGTGGATTGGGAAAGCCTGTCTATTACTGCAAAATTTAGGAATAGGAAAAGTCCCCAAAATGAATGACATCAGAACATCGTCATGAAAAGTTAGTGGGAATCTCCCACGTCATCATCATCACGTAAAAAATGACGGGCCGCTCCGCGGACAGCGTTTGGTCATACAGGAACTGTAGTAGGCAAACGCAGACCCACCTGGGGGACGTTCTAATAGATCTCGAGTTGTTCCAAACTCTTCTTAACTCACTGTTTCAACCCACCGAGGACGTTTCCGTATTGAAAGCCTTCAGTCTCGGAAAACGCACTTTTGAACCCTCCACAATACCGCATTGTTAACCCCTCTAAATTGGTATGATTTGCAAAGAGCCGGTCGAACTCCTCTTCTTTGGACGTTTTAAATTGAAATATTCTCACTGAGGGTTTTTTTAATCGGATTACACACTGCCGGAGTGGCTAAAATGTCAACAGATAGTCTATGAGCTCAGTCTTCGATAGGAGCAGTAAACAAAATCCGGTTATATACAATAACTGCATAATCGAGCGGTCGTCTCGGTTTATATGGACTAATCCAGCGGTCACAAGCTCTCGACATCCTGATGGTTTACCGCCCACTGACCCACAGTCAGACAGTAGTCGGAGAGCTTAGAAGCGCCTTCGATCTCATCAAACATCATGGGCGACGCTAACGCTCCGTATATTGACTAGGATCTGAATTCTACCCCCGATTCAGAATTAAACTTTGATCGCCGCCTTCTATAAGCAGCATAAAATCCCATCTCGCTAAACATGTTTTATCTCTAACCACTACACAAAGGGTGAGGAGCCAACTGCTTGTATCTTGTTCTGACAGAAGCGCCTGACGACGTTAATGTCGTAAACTGTCTAGCGCCTCTCGCCGAAAGTGACCCCGTGGCCCTACAGTGGAAGTATTCTCTCTTCTTTGTACCTGATCAAAGCATCACGGTCAGACGCATCAAACGGCATGGAGATTTTAACCAAATAAAAATCGAGATGCGCTGTACAGAGTTGAAAGCAACATCAACGGGGTGCATTCTCGAGGACTGGTTTGAATTTAAGGCTTTACCGCATGGACCTATCACTAGATCCTGCCATAGATCTAAAAAGGTCACCAGCAGGCTCCGATGGCTGAAGGGGCCACACAAAAGAGAAAAGTAAATTGTAAGCGAAAGCTGTGGAAAACTTTTCCCAGGGGAAGACTGTCGAGTTAGTAAATGAATACAGGTCGCATAGAAATAAAGGAAGGACCCTTGTTTGTAAAGCCCGCCGGGACTTAAATAGCAACCCGCCAAACGGTGTAGGAGAAAACCCAAGGCTTTTCTACGACCTCATAGGGCA